ATTTTTTTTCAAATGTAACTCGGGGTTTTTTTTCAAATGTAATTCCGTTTTTTTTTTTGCAAACGTAAGTCCTTTTTTTTTTTTAATTCAAAATGTGATTCTGGCCACTTCTGCTTTGGCAACTTCTGCTTTGGCTTAATGTAATTCCATTTTTTTAAATGTAATTCTGTTTTTTCAAATGCTGTTCATTTACACCTCAGGGCCACCGTAGACACCACACATGTCTCTGTTTAACTAAGTAAATGTACAATAATGAAGGTAGACAAAAAAAGATCCAGTTCTGGTACTGGGGCCATGGTAAGAGGTTTAAAGTGAACACTTAAGCCTTGACAGAGGTAAACCTTCTTGGGCTGGTTAGGTAATGATCTACTTTCCCACAGTTGGTCAAATTTTCTTTTATTGTAGAAACCTAAGTAAAAAATACAAATATATAGATACAGTATATATATATATATATATATATATATATATATATATATATATATATATATATATATATATATATATATATATATAGATAGATAGATAGATAGATATGTATATATATTTAAATTTTAGTTGAATGACTGAAATTGTTAGTGATTCGATGCATTTGTCCTGCTCTGAGATGCTCCAGTCGAATGTCGAATGTACAACACTAAAGGGGACTACAGGAAAGTATTTTTCCTACTGCTGTTTCCAACGCACAGGCTGTGGGTGGAGTTTTCAGGCTTCACCACATGAACTATTTTTGAATTACAAGGAGGCTGGGGAGTTGTGCTAAAATTATATATTTTTTAACAAACATAGTCTCTTTAGAAAATACAAAAAACTCATTTATAAATGTGTCCTGTAAAAGCTTTAGGACTGGTTGCTGTAGATGCTTTTAGCTCTTTAGAAAATAAATACAGAAACTATTTTATTATAACTCTATTTAAAAAAAACTACATATTTAACCCAAACTTTGCCACTAATTGTTTCAAATTCTGCTGTTCTTTTTGTTATTTTGTCCTTAAGAAGATGTTCCTCTAGTGCTCTTTGTTAGCTTGGACCAAATGTCTGCCGGTGTGTGTAGAAATTTTGAGATTGGCTTCTTTTGCAACAACCAGATATTAATTTTGTCTTCTGTAAATGCTGGCACTAAGCTGTATATTGTTGTATTACTGTTTTTTATGTTTATTTATAATGTATCTGGTTATTTTGCTCCTGGATGTGCTGTTTTATTCCCAGCTGTTGTTGATATTGCTTCCATGTAGCAATGAAGTTGTTTATTGGTAACCAAACAAAGGCTGGCTCAGTTCTTACTGAATGTGCAAAGCATACACAGATGACACGATACGTGTTTGTGAATTTAAATATGGTGGGCAACAGTTCCTGCTTTGAAAATTAAAAGACAAAAAAAAAGTTATGTAATTAAAAATATATATATGTTGAGTTCACTTAACACTTCAAGGTCTGTTATGCATAACCCAATTTATGCCACTTTAAAAATGATATTAGTCATAAATATGTCATCTTATCAAGTACTAAGTTAAAGTTATGAGATACTGATAAAGAGATACTAAGCCATGATTATGATACAAAGTCTTATTTTTTAGAAACTACCTCATAGTACAGTGATACTACATAAATATGAAATACTAAGATATAATGATGAGTCTTATCATTTTACACACTTATTCTGTTTTCCTTATTTGTTACACTATCCATGATACGTGAGGCCTGAGGCAGCATGGGGGTTAAATGTTTTAAATCAACAAACAGGGTTTTATATTAATCTAAGATAACCCAAATAACTAAAAAAATATTTTTTTTCAAATGATGATTTCACTTTTTTTTTTGGGTTATTT